CGGTTCGATTCCGGGTTGGCCCCCTTCCTTATTTTCACTTTTTGTCACCGTCGTGCCGATTTGATTTAGGCCTTTTTTTGGCAGCCCCTGTCGCCTGAGGCTTAGCGAGCCGTCACTTGGGAGATGTCAAAACGGGTAGTCTCTGCGCAGTGGCGTGTAGAACATCACTGGAGAATCGTCATCCGAGGCTGCCTGGCCTTCCATCCCGAATCCGTACGTCACAGCAGCCTAGGCTGGTCATTACAGCTTCGCTTGATCCAAGTGAGACTAGTGTCAAAGGTAGTAGCACCTCATTGAAGTGATGTAGTCAGGGTATAGCGGTCAGCAGTGGAAGAGCGGCAGGAGGGGGAAGCCAGCGTATTGATTTGGCGGAGTTTGACAGGGCGAGATGGACCCCTGTGGGACCCCTGATTCGTGAGTAGAGTTGATGCTCTCCGCTCGAGTCGACATGCGCCCGTTGAGCGATGCCGAAGCCCCACTCCCGCCTCGCCTTCCCTGACTTGGCATCAATGGTCAGCCTCGAGCCTCCTTGAACCCTGCGTATGTGCCCCACACGAGCAGTCAGGCAGCCCAGTTGGTTGCCGGATCTTGGTGCGCAGTGATGCTCCTCCACACCTGAGCTGCTTCACGCACCTGGTGTTGCCTTACCGCTACCATCCCTACACCTTGATCTCTGCCACAACGCTGACGCTACCGAAACAACTCAACTATACCCACAACTCAACTATACCCTTTCAGATCGTACCGATATCCACTCTTTACCACACGACACACGAAGGACCATTCGAACCGCAAAGATGTCCGCTACCATGACTCGGGTGCGGCCAAAGTTGATATCGCGGCTCGCTTGGGCGATGCTGGGAGCATGGCTGATGCTTTCCAGCCTGACTCCTACCTCTAATAACGGCTCGGGGCTTGGAGTTGCTGCCCAGTCGACACGAATCACATGCAGCGCCACATCCCAGTGTCCATCGTCCAGTCCATGCTGCTCGGCAGAAGGAGTGTGTGGCTCCGGCGCCATGCAGTGCGCAGGCGGCTGCAACCCATTGGCGAGCTTCAAGCCAACGTCGTGCCTGCCGAACCCCGTGTGCCGCTCGCGAAACATGACGATCCAACCGGGCGATTTCGACAACCTGGCGATCTTCACGCCAATCCTGCAGTACGGCGGTGACGCGAGCAAGGCAGCGTTTACGCTCGACTCGGGCTCGCTTGGACCTGGACCCGAGGGCGTGCTGTTGCAGCTCAAGGCGGCACAGCAGGCCAAGATCTCCACTACCGATTACCTAATGTATGGATATGTCGAGGCGACGCTAAGGCATGATGCCCGTCAGGGCGTCGTAGCGGCGTTCATCACCATGTCCGATGTCAAAGACGAGATCGACTGGGAGTGGACAGGCGCCAACTCGTCCGAGGCCAAGACCAACTATTTCTACATGGGCGAGCCTGTGCTGGACCACGGCACGGACGTCCACATGACCGGAAACAATGTTAGCGACTGGCATACTTACGGCTTGAATTGGACAAGCTCTCAACTGCAGTGGACGATCGACGGCAATGTCGTGCGTACGCTGACTCGCGATCAGGCAGGTGCCGAGTATCCCCGATCACCGGCTCGCGTTCAGTTCAGCACCTGGGCCGGCGGCAACGAGACCAACCCCGAGGGCACCATCGATTGGGCAGGTGGACCGATCGACTGGACCACGCCCGAGTACAAGAAACAGGGCTTCTACTCGCAGGAGATCAAGCAGTTTGCCGTCCAGTGCGCGAGTCTGAGCGGCCTTAACCTCACAAGCGCCTCTGGAGGTGCAGGAGGTACGGGAGGTGGAAACGTCACCTCGTTCGTCTACACGGGCGCCAACTCGTCCTCGACCTCGGGACCGGCGTTCGGAACAAGCACAGCGCCATTGAGGATCCTCTCTGATCCAGGTGTCGATGGCATCCCCGGCTATCCGGGCTTCAAGAGCGCCTCTGACTCGTCTACGTCCGACAGCAAGGACGGCAAAGGTTCCGCCTCGTCGTCTGGCAAGGATTCGGACAACGGAGACAAGGGCCAAGATGGCGACAAGAGCAAAGACGACGACAAGGACAGCAAGGCGTCCGCCAAAGACGACTCTGCCAACAGCTCTTCTACTTCGACCTCGGATGCACTCAAGTATGCGCTGCCGATCTCGGGAGCGATTGTTGGCCTAGCGGCTGCGTGGGGGCTGGTTGCATTTGTGCGTGCACGCCACCTGAAGGCGCCGATCATCAATGCGATCGGCGTGACGGGCGTCAATGATCCGCGCTTCTCAGGGCCTTCGAATCGCGGCTACGTGCAGGCGGCAACGGGGATGCACGCAGCAACTTTCCAAGACCTCGAGGACGATCCACAGACAGTATACCGCAACGAGCCCAACATGAACCTAATGATGGGCGGTGGCATCATGTCGGATGCCGGCCTGTCGCATCTGCAGCGCCAGACGACCGGATCGTCGCGCCTGACGCGCAATTCGTCACGCACCATCACGGACCGGCTGCTGCAAAACCAGAGCCGAAAGTATCAACAGCTGGACGCAACGACAGAGGAGGAGGGTATGGAAGATGCGGCGAGGCATACGCTCAGCAGTGTTGTGACGAGCAGAAGACACGCGGATTCGAATGCTAACGCGGCGATGGGGTACGCAACAGACGGCAGCCGAACCGCGGAAGACAGACATGAGTACGCGGTGCGCGAGTCTGGCTGGCCGGGACACGGATATCGGGGCGACTACGACGCTAGGATGCCGGACGGCGGAATGGATAGCTGGGATCCGACGCCCGTCTCGAGTCCAATCAAGGCCGGAGCGATGAGGACCTCGTACCGTGAACCAGCGAGAGGGCCGGATAGCTCGTTCGAAGCGTGCCAGTTGCAGTCGCCGCAGCGACGCGCGCTGCCCATACCGGTAACGCCGTACACGCCCAACTATGCACAAGCGCCACAGCGGCCATCAGGAAGGATGTACGATACGCCGAACGTCAACTACTATCCAACGCCGGTCATTGCGCCAAACGAGGGGTGTATGGCTGGCGCGGCACCGCTTTTTGGCGGTGGGCACGCTTACGCGCCTGTCGACGGAGCCATGGGCGGGGCTGGATATGTGCCCACACCGCCACCACGCCGGCACTACCACTAGTCCATCGTGCGCTCGAATGTAAAGTTGCTCGCAAAGAAATGCGCTCGAGACTGGACTGTGCGGAAGTGATCGCCGACATGAGGTAGTCTGGACCCGAGAGGCGCGTGCGGGGATTGCCAATGTCAAGAGGACCGCGGATCTGGCATTGACCGAGGGGCAGAGCGGTGTTTCGCAAAGTGTCTCAGATGCGAAAAGAGCGCGGCGGCGCAGAACGTCACGTCAGGGCACGACGCACCCTCTCGATGGACGGGCGGCAGGCAGCCCCTGTCTTGCTTCGGGACCCGGTCCTGCTGAGCTTTGATCCCGACCATCCGTTGACAGAAGCAGAGTCAAGCTCCGGCGATGTTGACCAGAGGTCAGGGCTCGGATCCACCGAAAGCGGTGTCGGGGCGAGCGGTCTGAGCTTGCCGCATTAGGTCAACGTCTCTCGACCCGAGCTACTGTAGGTCCGGACTCAAGCCACAAAGAAAAGTGTTGGGAAAATCGCGACGGACGAGCAGAAAAATGAAAAAGAAGGCTGCGGTCCGCTGCCAGATCTGCGAGGCGAGCGAGCTGCATAAAGGCTGTCTGGCGCTGGCCATGTGAGCCGAAGGGTCGGTGCGCGCGGCCATGGGTCCGGTGAAGAAAATGGCGCAGCAGAGCGGTACGCGCGGCGATACGGTCGAAGAAGAGGCGTGGCTCGGCTAGGCTGCAGAAGACTGACGGGCCGAGCATGACAGGTGCCCTTGCGGTGGTTGCGCTCGCTAAGCGTCGATCGCATGCTTGTTGCGAACGACAGGCCATGGAAAGCTTGCGCTTGCCGACCTGACGCCTCGAAGCTTCCGGTCAACTCTCGCGCTTCGTTGGGCGATCGACGCCGTCTTTCCGGACGAGCTTCCGGGCAGCAGCGGAGACCGATGAGTCGCGGCGGGCTTGAATGGCGGCGTGCGCGTGTGTTGTCGGTCGACGCCCCACCATCGCGTCCATGCGGCTGCAGAGGCGCGGGCCCAGATGAAGCTGAGCTCTTGTTGCTGAGCACTCGACGAGCGGGCCACAAAGAGAAACGCTCGGCGTCGAGCCAAAGCTGCTCCGCTTGGGCTCCGAAGCAGAGAAAAGAAAAGAAAGAAAGAAAGTGGAACCCTCGGGCGTCGTGCCGTGGATCGGCCTCGGGGTTTTCTTTGGCGTCCGGCTGCTTTCGGCGATGCTGTACAGGCTTGCCACATCCAGATCGCCCTTACAAGCGCATCTCACAGTCTGGCAAAGCAGCTGATCGCTTTTCGCATTCATCTGGCTGCGTCCGCTCTGCAGTCAAAGCGTACGCTTGAGGTTGCCATCGGTGCGGCCGAGGCGTGGGCGCAGCGGCGGTGGGTCGATGGAGCTCTACTTTTGAATTTGGGTTGGATTTTGCAGGTCCGCGCGGCGTGATGCCATGGCCAGGGCTAGAGAGGGCTAGAGAGGGCTCTTTTTTTCCCGCATTGGCTGCAGCTGATGCTGCAATCAATCTCCGGACGTGTGCTGGGGAGGCGTGGCGAGGCAAGGCGAGGCAAGGCGAGGCGTTGGCGTGGCGTCGCCTCCCAGAGCCAGCTTGCTTCAAGCTTTGACCCCCCTCGGCTTTGGGCTGCATTGTCGCAGCTCGAGCAGCGGCAGCAGCCAGATCCAACACACGACGCCCGACGCCGCTCCTTCCCATGCGATTCCGTCTGGCGAATCGCCCCGTGCCCTCCAGCCATTCAGCCAGCCCGTCCATCCGCCCGCGACAACGGCCTTTTTTTCCCTTGCCCTGGAATACGCGCTCGCGCTGCCTCTGGCGCCGCCCTGGCTGCACTCCAGCTCGCTCGGCCCCCCTCTGGCCATCGTGCAGCCTCATCACCGCCGCTCCCTCTCGGCCCCCCGCGTAACTGCAGCCTGGAGCTCACTATTGCCCTCCTCACCTCGTCCTCGTCCTCGTCCCCTCTCCTTCTCCTCTGCACCTTCGCCCCGCCTCCCTTCGGCTTGCTTTCCTTAGCGCGTCCACGGCTACACCTACGATAGCGCGGATCACTCTCCATCCCTCTCCTTCCGCCTCTCTCTCTCTCTGGCTCCATACCATCTCACCAAGCATTTCCATCGGAGGCTAGCATCCTGTCCTGTTTCCTAACCAGAACCATCCACTCTTCACCCCCGTTATCCAAGCTCGTCGTCGACCGCTTCCTCCACCGCTCCATCCCGAATTCATCGCCTGGAAGCCTCTCACCTCGACCTGAAGGAGCATGCACGAGGAGCCCATCGACCGCTCTCGCGACCTGTGGATTGAGAGAAAACGCAGACTCGAGCAAGAGGAAGCCGCTCGTAGGGACGAACTGCTCGACCAACGCTACAGATCCTCCCACGATCCTTCAAGCCGCTACAGCCCCCCGCGCCAGGCTCAACACGAGCCAAGGTACGCACAACCGCCGCCTTCTTCCGCCATCCCCTCCCAGTCCATGGCCGCACGCCAAGCCGCAATTCCACGATCCCAACTGCCCATCAACAGCAACCCACTCGCAGACGAAGAACAAGCCATGCGCGAAGACCCCGCAGCGAGCGCACTCAAACGCAGACGCCTCGGCGAAGCTCTCGATCGCGACGATCGACGACGCGAAGAGCCCGGCTCCGGCGGCCGCTCCCCGCCCTTCCGCAGAGCAGATGGCGCTCCTCACTCGGGCAACCGCTTCCTCGACGAGCGCGACGCTTACGCCGACGACCTGCGCTCGCCACACAACCCTCCTTACACCAGCCGCTCCAACGGTCGTCTGTCCCCTTTTGAAAGAACCGCGCATAGCCCAGCCTCGGGCGGCGGTCCCCTGCCCCCCATGCAGGACGCGCATCGTCCCTCGGTATTCTCCTCTTCCAGCTACGACGACGGTCCTGACCACTGCTCCTCCATGCCCGGTCTCGCACGAAGGAGGGGCGACGCAGCCCAGGCCAAGGCGAGCCGTCTTCACATTGACACCGGCAACGGCTCATCCTTCGAGGCTGCCGCTCTCGTCAAGTCGTCCAGCGGCATCGCCAAGAGCGCGCCGCCACAAAAGCTCTCATTTGGCTTTGACAGTCGCGATCATTCCATGCCTCAGGACCAGGGTCCGCGCGAAGCCAACCTCCGCCCCGGCCATGCCGCACAGCTGGGCCAGCAGCCCTCGCCTCATCCGCGACCCGAACAGCACCAGCAGCAGACTCCACAGCGTCTCGTCTCGGGCTCGCGCGAGGCTTTGGAGCCTTTCCGCCGCGACGAGCGCGAAGAGTTGATCAGCCACCGCGACGGCCGCATGCCCGACATGCCGCACACCGCCAATCCACTGGCGCGCCAACCGCCCTCGTCGCGGCTGGCCGTTGGTCATGTGCCTCAGACGGCCACGCTGCCCTCTCCCGCCTATCACACCACCCAATTCGCAAGAGGCCATGCAGGCGGACGCCAGGCATACAATCCTCCGCCCACCGCCCGCCTCCCTGACCATCTGCGCTCGCCGCCAGCGTCCAAGGCGCACTTCCTCTCGCTCTTTTCCGACTTTTACGACTCGCTCCACGATAGCAGGACGCTCAAGGCGACTCTGGAGGATCAAATCAAGCGCTCCAACACGCTTCTTCAGACGCTCCAGTCTAGCCGTCGTGTGCTCGAGGAGACGGTCGAGCGTCGCGTCCGAGAGGAGCGCGTGCTGTGGGAAGGTCGCGTTCGCGGCTTGGAGGCGCGCGTGCGCGAGCTCGAAGCCAAGACCGGCACCGCCGACTACGATGACGTGCCTTCGCGTGCGGCAAATTCCCATGCAGAGCCATCCTCCAAGTCGACCGCCAACGCCTCCACTGCTGCCGCGCCCAAGTCGGCTGCCACGCCAGATGCTGGTGACGAGTCGTCCGAGGCTCGCGAACGAGCGCGCTCGTCCGCGTCGGCAGCCGAGGCCAAAAAGTCGGCGGCGCCCAAGGACGATCCCGAGGGCGACGAGCTGCTCGACGACTGAAGCATCGCGCTCTTTGCGCTTGAGCTCCTTTACACCCCCTGCCTGCCCTCTTTTGCCCCTCTCGCCTGTCTGCCCGCTGTCGAAACTCGCTCTTTTATCCATCTTTGGCATTTGTGCGTGTGACGTCCTAGTGAACCACCATGGGAAGTGCATGTCGTGCGCCGCACCAGCAGAATGGGCACATCAGAGATGTTCAGTTGTGAGCCCTTTGGCCACGGCACAAGCTGCGTGCGGCCAGCCTGATGGCTGCGCTCGCTAAGCTGGCAGTGTGTGCCTCAGCCTGTGGGAACTCTGCACTGGGCTTTGCTGGGTCAAACTGCACAACCGCGGCGCTGGCACTACGAAAACCGCGGCACCTCGCAGCCGTTGCAACACAAAGCGCCAAGTTGTCGCGCACGTTTCACACAGGGCTGGACCGCGCGCCCTGGTCGCACACACACACCCGCTTTATCGAACTGAAACAAGACCTAGCATTCCGAAATGGGTAAAAGGGGCCTACACCTGGGTGCAGCGCGCACGAGAGAGAGCGATGTGGGAAAAACAAGAGAGTGTGTGTGGGATGCCCGCCTCGGTATGGCAGGCGCGATCCAAAGAGCGTGTGTGTATGTGGTTTGGGCGGGGACTATAGAATACCAGGAGGGAAAAGAGAGACTAGACGAAGCAATGAAGTGAAGGAAAGTGGGTGGTCTAGAGATAGTGTGGTGAGGCTGTGGGTTCGGCTCTGCGAATGAGGGTGCCGAGACCCAGAAGGCCGCCGCCACCACTCGACGATGACGACGCCGTGGCAGCGGCTGGGCTTGCACTACCGCCGCCGAGCGCCTGCGTGAGGGCACTGACTACACCGCCGCCAGCCGATGTGAGCGTGCTCACCGCACCGGCAGCGGCCTCGGTAACGGACGAGACCACCGAGCTTGCACCGTCTGCCAATGACGCCACCGGGTTGGCGGTCGACGAGGCGGATACCGCCGACGACGACGAGCCGGGCGCATTGGGACACTTGGCCTGGTTGAGAATGGGGTTGAGAATCGACAAGCCCAGACCGGGCGTGAGCTTGGTGATCTCGCACAGCACGCCCTGCGTCGCCGTGCTCAAGCCGCCAATCACGTTGCCCTGCGCGAGCTGCGTGAGCGTGCCGCCGAGGATCTGCGTCAGATCCACACCGGCCGCCGCAATCTGGCCCAGCAGACCCAAGATGTCCTCCACAGGTCCCAGCGGGATGTTCACTCCGCCGAGCGACAACGCATAGTCCGTCGGGATGTTGAACTCGTTGTAGTTGAGACCCGGCACCAGGTAGCTGTCGCCCACCGAGGGACCAATGCGCACGGGCAGGTTGTTGTAGATGTCCAGGTTCTGACCAATCACGGGCAGCGACGCAATCAGACCCTTGGGCAGCACCACATTGGGCACCCTCGGCGATGTCACCTCGGCTCCGCCCACGGGGATCTCGAAGCCGCCGTTGGGGAACGTGTACGACACGCGCGCATCCGGGTTCGTGGCGTCGCGAGGCGTCTCGCCCGTCCTCTTGGCCGAAGTCTGCAGCGCAACAAGGTACAGATTGGTGTCGAGAGCATTGACCGCGGTCACATCGATCTCGACGATGGGAGGCGAAGCGGCCGGGTTGAGCAGGCCCGCCAGACCCGTCAGCAGCGTCTGCGCAGTGAGGTAGACGTTGATGTGCGTGACGATGCGCGAGGCGATACCCTCGAGCTGGGTGGTCAGCTTGACGCCTGCCAGCGCCGGACGCAGCGAGTCGTACGGCGTGAGATTGCCTTGACCCACCGGGCTCTGCGAACCGTCGATGGTGAGTTGGGAGATCTGCTTTCCACCGTTCGCCTCGTCGGGCTGGACGTACTGCTGCAGCAGGCGCTGAGCCGTCGTGTCGTTGGCGTTGACGGGCGCGTAGTAGAAGTACGACTGCACCAGGTTGTCGCCCGGAATCAGGCCCAGCACGGGAATCTCGGCGCGGCCCACGAAGGTGCCCGAGAAGATGACGGGCAGGAACACCTCGTTGGTGAAGACCGTCAGGTTGGACGGGTTCGTGAGCGCCACCTTGAGCGGGACCCACAGGAACGCCGGCGTACCGCTGCTCACGGAGACGTCCGACAGCGTCGCGACGCCGTTGAAGCTGTTGATACCAGCGAGCGTCGTGGTCACGTTGAACGGAATGCCGCCGATGGGAATGTTGCCGATCACCGTCTTGGCCACGACGTCCGTGCCACCGCGCAGGTCGAACTGGCCACGAGGCGTGTCGGTGAGCTGAGCGAAGAACGCCTGGAAGTTGGGCCTGTCGACCGCGACGATGTTCTGTCTGCGCCACATGAGCTGCAGCGCCTGGAAGTCCTGCGGGCCGCGCGACGTGCCGGCTTGCACGTTGGCCAGCGGCAGGTCGAGGTACGCCGTGTCGCCACCCGCGTACGAGAGGTTGATGTGCGGCGACGCCTGGATCGGCTGCAGGCTGAACATGAACGGATTTGCAAACGTCGCGATCGTCGAGTTGGAGCTCGACGGAATAACGTACGAGTCCGCCGGGTTGCCGTTGACAAACACGGTGAGATCCGACAGCGTGATCGAGAAGATGATCTGGTAAATCTGGCCGGGCAGCGCGACGTTGAGGGTGAGCGTGCGGAAGGCGGCGCTGAGCCAGTTGACGGGCTGGTTGCCGTTGGCCTGCGTCACCACCGAGACACCCTTGACCTGGAGGATCTGCGTCCTGCCCTGCAAGAAGTTGGTGAAGAGGATACCCGTGTTCTGCAGGTCGCGGCCGGACTTGGCGGTGATCTGGCCCTGGAGCGTCGTGTTGGTGGTGGCGAGCGCGGCAAGGAAGAGGTTGGCGGAGCTGACCGGACCGATGTCGGTGCCCATGAAGAAGATCTCGAAGTTGGCCGTGTCCAGCTGGATACCCAGCGTGGCCGGGTTCGGGATCGAGGCGCCGGTGCGGATGAGCAGCGCGTTGCTCGTCTCGCCGTACACGTCGAAGTTGAACGTCGTCACGCCTGGCAGGCCGTTGAATGCGCGGAAGTCGATGTTCTTCGAGATGATGACGTTGCTGTAGATGATCTCGAGCGCACGCACGGTGAGCCTGTTCGACGAGACGGTCCACTGGAAGCCCGGGTTGGCCAGAATGTAGATGGCAAAGTCGGTGAACGCGCCAAGGTTGGTGATGGTCAAGTGGCCGCTCGTGACCAGGTTGGGCACGCCGACGTTAGCAAACGCACAGATGGGCGGCAGCGAGAGCTTGGCGATGTTCCTGCCCTGCCACGTGACCGTCAGCGGCTCGGTGAACTCGATCTGCGCGTCAAACGGACCGGTGCCCGTGAGAGAGCCCGAGAGCGAGACGTCGAAGCCGGTGTTGGTGACGCTGGTGATGTTGGCGATGGCGACGGTGAGCACGGCCTGGTCGACAATGTTCTGCACGATCGGCGCACCTGCGGGGCCGAGCAGGTACAGCGCGGTGCGGTCCGTCTGCGTCGGCACGGGCTGCTGGACGAAGTTGAGGTTGGTGAAGTAGTCGTCCAGCTTGTCGCTCGACTGCACGTTGAGCGTCGTCGTGAGGCCCTGCAGCGTGCGCAGAACAGCGCCAAGCACGTCGAACTGCTGACCCGACCTGCAGTTGGGTGGGTTGAAGTCCGGGTACGGGCTGATGGTCGTCTGCGTCGACGCCTGTTCGAGCACCTGGGCGAACAGCGGCGGGAGCGGGCCAAGATCGGTGCCGGTCGTCGCCGCGGCGGCCTGGACGAAGCGGATGAGGTTCTTGGGGTCCAGGTCGAAGTTGAACGGCAGGAAGCGCGACGTGATGGTGGTGTGGCCGGGCGCACGGATCGGGTTGCTCGACAGGTCCTGGTTGATCTCGCCGAGGAAGATGCCCTGGTACGACGCATCGGCCTTGACCTTGAGCAGGTTGATGGACGCGGTGAAGGGGTTGCGCAGGTCGAAGTTGGCCTGGGCGATACCGGTCTGGGCGATGTTGGGCGGGATGACGAGCCTGGCAACGGTGATGAGCAGCTGCCTGAGCGGCGGGATGTCGGCGTTGAGGCGGATGCCCGAGAGCGCCTGCTTGAGCGAGTCGATGGGCGTCGTGTCGCGTGTACCCTGGATGATGACGTTCGAGACGATGCCCTGCACGTAGTTCTCGAGCAGCGTCTGACCGGCACGCGTGTTCTCGGCGCCCTGCGGCGAGTAACGCACCTGGGTCGGCACGATGTTGGTGCCCGGCACCAGCACCAGCCCGTTGATGACGGCAGTGCCGATGAGACGGTTCAGGAAGTAGACCTGGAAAGTCACGTCGCCCGTGCCAATGGTGATGTCCGACGGATTGAACAGCGTGGTGTCGACGTTGATCTGGAGGTAGGACGGGTAGCCGTGGAACACGTCCAGATTCGACACCACCGCCGGACGCGCGTTGAGATTCTGCAGACCCAACAGGTTGGTGTCGACGTTGAAGGGGATGTTGCTGATGGTGACCACACCTGCCGCCGTGCTTGCCTTGGTGTTGGCGCGACCGTTGAGGTTGAAGGTGACCTGGTTGCTGGCGGTGGTGTCGGCCAAGAACTGCGAGAACCTCGGGTGCTGGTTGTTGTACACGGCGAAGGGCACGTTGCTGAACATGAGCGTGAGGATGCGCGCGGTGACGTCGGTGATCGAGGGCGAGAGCGGAATGTCGAGCACGGCCATGTCCTGACCCTGGTAGCCGGCGATGAAGCCACCTCCGACCTGCTGGATGTCGACCGGGAAGTTGAAGGGGAGGAAGAACTCGGACTGCGTGTTGTTAGAGCTCGACGGCGGGTTGTACGCGGTCTGCTGCGTGAAGAAGAGCGAGATCTGGTTGATCGAGATGGTGCGGATGACTGTGAACTGCTGCGATGGCAGCGACACGCGCACGGCGAGCGACTTGATGCCGTCGTTGAGCCACGTGACACTCTCGGGACCAGCATAGTCACCAAGCACCATGACGTCCGTGTTCTGGTTGGCCACGAAGCGCGTGAAGATCTCGGAAAGGACCGCAAGACCCTGGTCGGACGACTGGGGCACCAATCGACCCACGAGCGGGAGCGTAGTGACGGCAAGCGCCTGCAGCACAAACGTGTCCTGCGCTGCCGAGGGGCCGATGTAGGTGCTGTTACGGTCGAGGTTTACACCGAAGCGCGACAGCTGCACACCCACCTGCGACGGGTTGTAGATGGTCGTGGCGGCTGTAAGGTGGATACCACCCGCAGGGTCGTTGGAGGGCAGGTCGAACGAGTTGATGATGACGCTGTTGCGCAGGCCGTTGAAGGCGCTGAGGATGACGTTCTTGGAGATCGAGATGCTGCCGACCTCGATACCCAGAGCGGCGACCTGAAGACCGTTGCCCGCAATGTTCCACACGAAACTCTGCTCGGTGAGCAGGTAGCGCGTGAACTCGGTGAGGTATCCGACGTCAGCAACCGCGAAATCAGCAATGATCTCAAGCGTTGCGCCGACGTCGCCCGCAAGCGAGACGTTGGGCATGGCGATGCGACCGAGCAGACGGCCGTTCCAGGTGACGTCGAGACCGTTGGCAAAGTAGATGGTCGCGTCGAAGGGACCCGAGTTGGTGATGGTGCCCTGGAGCGCCGTCTGGAACGTGTTCTGCTGCGGGTTGAGGATCGTGACGCGGTCGATGTTGAGGATGGCGTTGTCGACGATCTTCTGCACGATGGGGCTGGCAAGCACGGGGAGCAGCTTGTTGAGCGTCACATCGGTGCCGAGCGGCACGTTCTGCTGGGCGAACGTGAGCGTGGTCTCGTAGTCGCCGATCCTGGCGTCCGACACGATCTCGAGGTTGGCGGTGGCCGAGTTGAAGGCACGGCTGATGTATGTGGGCAGGTCGAAGCCAGTGTACAGGTTGGCGCGCTTCTTGAGCGTGCCTGCCTCCTCGAGCGCCTCGGGCTCGTCGCGCTCGGCCCACTCGGCGACGTTGGCGAGCGTCTCGACGTTGTTGACTCCGTCCATCATGGCGTGCGCCAGCTCGTTGTCCTCCTCGTAGTCGTACGTGGCATCGTCTGCGCCGAGCGAGCGGCGCGAGTTGGCCGAGGTGGTGGGCGTGAGCGTGTAGCCGCCGAGTTGGACGACACCATCAATGTACGCCGGGTTCTGACCGCTCTGGATGGCCAGGGCGCGAACCAGCGCGAAGATGTCGGGCGGGTACAAGTTGAGGCCGAGGTCGATGGGTGGCGATTGCGTCACGGCACGGCCCTGGGCGTTAAAGTTGAGCGGCGTGTCGATGCTGGCGACAAAGATGCCGTGCGAGGTGACGTTGGAGCGAATGCGGGTGATGGTGAGCGGCGCCGTGAAGGGGTTGTTGAGGAAGACGGTGGAGCTGGCGATGTTGTTGGTGATGCCGGTCGAGTCGAGCACGGTGAGGTTGGCCGAGCGCACCAGCGAGGTCTTGAGACCGGGCAGCGTCGCCTTGAGGCGGATCTGCGAGAGCGCCGGCAGCAGCGACGACACGGCGGTCGAACCATCGAAACCGTTGATGCCGAGCTCGGTGTCGAGACCGGCGATGAAGCGGTTGAGCGTGTCGAGACCCCTGGGGTCGGCGTTGGGGTTGAAGACCGAGGTGGCGTTGACGTCGTTCCTGCCGGCCATCAGGTTGAGGCCGGGGATGGTGACGGTGCCGAGCACGACCTGGTTGACCAGCTGGAAGTTGCTGTCGCCGATGGTGAGGTTGAGGTTGGACGGGTTGACGAGCGTGGTGCCGACGCTGAGCAGGATGCCGTCGTTGGTGCCGCCCGTCACGTCGACGCTGGTGATGAGCGTCGGGTAAGCATTGAGACCCTGCAGACCGAGCAGACCACTGTCGACGTCAAAGATGATGCCGTCGAGCAGGACGCGACCGAGGGGCGTGTCGGTGATGGCCTTGGCCTCACCCTGCAGGCGGATGGCCGTACCGTTGCTGAGGGTGAGGTAGGTCTGGAAATTCTCCAACTCCTTGCGTGCAGCCGCGGTGTTGTTGGCAAGCGTGAGCTCCGAAGGCGGCAAGGTGAGGTTGAGCGTACCCGCGGTCTGGCCGGCACTGACGATCGAGAGCTCGGTGGTGGTGTTGGAGTAAGCCGAGTTGATGGTGGCGACCTGGGCGCCGTCGAAGAGGATGGTGAAGGTGTTGGCGGTATTGACGATGGAGAGCGAGAAACCGAAGGGCAGACCGAGCACGGCCGAGAGGGCGCTCGAGAATGCGGTAGGGTTGTAGGCGGTCTCAGACGTGTAGACGAGCGCGAGGGAGCCGATGCTGATGCTCTTGATCGGGTTGATAGGCTGGGGCGCCTTGAGCGGCACGGCGAGCTCGAGGGCGCTGATACCGGAGCTGAGCCAGCCGATGTTGTCGCCGTTGGCCTGGCGGACGGAAACACCGCGAGCCTGGGTGGGGAGGGTCTGACCGTTGATGTAGCCGGTGAAGAGCTTGCCAAGCAGGTCGAGCTCGGTGGCGTTGTCGTTGTGCGGGACGAGGCGACCGTTGAGGGTGATGACGTTGCGACCGGTGGTGACGTTGAGGTTGGTGGTGCTGGCGGGGCCGAGGTACATGCCCTGGTAGTAGAGGCCGAGGTCGAGCGTGCCGAGCTGGACACCGAAGGGCGACGGGTTGACGAGCGAGGTGGTGACCGAGAGCGAGACGCCGCCAGCGGGGTCGTTGCCGGGCAGCTGGAAGTCCAAGATCTGCACATCCTCAAAGTTGTTGAAGCCCTTGATGATGATGTGCTTGTTGAAGACGAGGTTCTTGTAGGTGGGGAGGAAGGAGAAGGCCTCTGCGTGGACGCTGGAGCAGTTGAGCTTCCAGGTGAACTCGGGCTGCGAGATGAGGAACTTTGCAAACTCGCCAAAGCCTTCGACGTCGTTGATCTCAAAGTTGGTGGCCTGCTTGATGCGGGCGTGGCCGGCGGCGGCACCGATGTAGTCGAGACGGAACTGGCCGAGGTTGATCTCGGTGAGCGTTTCGGGCGAGGCGACCTGGCCGGGCTGGGGCGGGAGGACCCAGTAGACCTGGACGGGCTCGCGGAAGTAGAGATGAGCGGGGAAGATGCCGACCTTCTTGGTCTGACCCTGGAGGGTGAGCGGGAAGGAGGTGTTGCCAGGGTTGGTGATGTTGGACTGCTCTACATGGAGCACGGCGGTGTGGAGCGCATGGTTGGCGACGGCGTAGAGGACGGGGAGCAGGGTGATGGCCAGGGTGACGAGGAGGACACCGGGGGCGACAAAGAGACAGCAGTAGCCGAGCTTCCTGGAGAAGTACTTTTTCTCGTAGGGGGTGCCACGAGCGCGGACGAAACCGATGGGTTGGCCGGGCTGGTAGTAGCCTGCGCCTTGGGCATTGTCGGAGTCGACGCTCTGGGCAGCGGAGCGCCGACGGAGGTTTTCGCGGGAGCCGTAGCCGTCGTCCGCCATGATGAGGATGGGGGACTCAGCGCCCGAGCTCTAGGAAAGGAGGCGGAGCTGGGCCTGTGCGGAGGAGGCGAGGGTGGATGGCGACGATGACCAGGTCTATATTGTATGGACTCGGGCAGCCGGATGGTGTCGAAAGAGAGCGTGCGAGGCGAGGCGTTCTTGCTGAGACGGATGAGTCGATGTTGAAGCCACGAACCGGTGTCGACGTCGAGGTTGAGTGGCGGTCGGTGTCGGCGACGTCGGATGGTGGAGAATAGGGACCGGAAAGGGTGCCGACGACGGCGAAAGGGTGTGTTGGTGATGGTGAGGAGGTGAGGAGCGGATGGCAGTGATGGCGACGGCGACGACGACGACGGCGTCCAGGAGAGGCGAGCAAGAGTTCGCCCGTCCACAGAGGGACGGCAGCGGCGGCGGCAAGGGGGCGATCTGGGGTGCAGACGGGGCGACGGGCAGAAGCAGAGGGTGGGCCAAGGCAGAGCCAGGGCAGCGCGGGGCAGGGCTGGGCTGGGCTTGGGCAGGGCAGGGCAGGGCAAGATGGCATCCATATTGGGCAGGACGATGAGCAGGCCGCGGCTAAGCGAGACGAGAGAGGGCTGGGTCGAGACACGCACGCATCGGGCGAAGGCGAACAGAGCACGAAGCGAGGAGGGGCGACAGCCGCAACCGGATGGATCTCTGTGACATTTGGGTCGCGGAGTGAGGCGCGGGTCGGCTCTAGGCAGCGAAGATCCCTCCATGCATGCAAGAGGTGTCGCGGGGCAAACCTGTGGTTGGCTGGCGTCGCGGCTACGCCTGGCGATGTCGAACTCTGCCCGCAGGTGCCCATCCCCCGCCCAGGCGCACTGCAGCGACATGCAGCCGGATGGTTTTCTCAGAACGAAAAGAAAAAACAAATCGAAAAAGGCCCGGATCTCGCAGTGCCAGTGCCTGTGCGTCCAAAAAGGGACGAGAAAAAGAGAAAAGCGTGGCCTTGGGGTCTCAGCTGAGCAGCTGAACGGCTGGGCGGCGCAGCAAGCAGCGGGGCGGCGAGCGGAGGGCGGAGCGGGAAAAACTCGCTTGAGGGGGGGGGGG